AACTAGCTAGCTAGCCAACTAGCTAGCTATTTATTGGCTAGCCGTCTAGCTATCCAGCCAGCTAGCCAGCCAGCTATCCAGCCAGCTAGCCAGCCAGCTAGCCAGCCAGCTAGCCAGCCAGCTAGCCAGCTAGCTGTGCTTCATTTGTTTCGCTATTTACTAGTTAGCTGGCGAGCAAGCCAGCCAGCCAGCTCAGTAGCCAACTAGCTAGCTAGCTGGCCAACTAATACCTAGCTAGCTAGCTAGCTAGCTAGCTAGCTAGATATTAGTGCTAGCTAGCTAGCTAGCCAGCTAGATATTAGTGCTAGCTAGCTAGCTAGCTAGCTAGCTAGCCAGCTAGATATTAGTGCTAGCTGGCTAGCTGGCTAGCTGGCTAGCCAACTAGCTAGCTAGCTAGATATTAGTGCTAGCTGGCTAGCCAGCTAGCTAGCTAGCTAGCTGGCTAGCTAGCTAGCTAGCTAAATATTAGTTGGCTGCAAATATCAAACTGCTTGCCACTCCCCAACAGCCCAATCCCCTCCATCTCTTCCCATTCATTCATTTATTTATTTATTTATATATTTATTTATTATTTATTTATTATTTATGTATTGATTTATTATTTATTTATTTATTATTTATTTATTTATTTATTTATTTGTTATTTATTTATTTATTTATTTGCAGATGAGAGTTCGGAGGCGTACAGCGAGCGGGCGCTGTGCGTGTCGGCTCGTTGGGTGTCTAGACACCTGCGCGCGAGCTTTTCTTTCGGCGACTTTCGCGAAAAGGAGCTCAAAAAAGAAAAAATAAAAACCAAAAATGAAAATAAAACTGAAAATGGAGTCAAAACGGTCCAGTTTGAGCTCCAAACTCGCCAAAATGAAGAAGAAATCGAAAAAAACGATTCAGAAAATGTCCTACTTCTCCTCATGGAAGGCGAACACCTCCAAGTCCTTCTTTTCCCCTCTTCACTTTTTATTTTTTATTTTAATTTCTTAATTTGTTTTTAATTTCTTTTTATTTCTTTTTAATTTCTTTTATTTCTTTTGTTTCTTTTTAGTTTTTTTTTCTTTTATTTCTTTTTATTTCTTCTATTTCTTTTTCATTTCTTCTATTTCTTTTATTTCTCTTTATTTCTTTTATTTCTTTTTATTTCTTTTATTTCTTTTAGTTTTTTATTTCTTCTGGTTCTTTTATTTCTTTTCATTCTTTTATTTCCTTTATTTGTTCTTTATTACTTTTTGTTTATTTAAATTCCTTTTATTTCTTCTTTCCTTTTTTCTTTTGCAGTTCTTTTGAATTTCTATTTGATTTGTTTTTTAATTTCTTTTTTATTTCTTTTAATTTCCTTTTATTTATTATCATTTATTTAATCACTTTTTTCCCTCTCTTTATTCATTCTTCTTTTTTGTTCTCTTTATTATTTTACTTGCTTTTTAAATAAACTTTTATTTATTTTCTTTCCAAACAGTTTTTCTTTTTATTTATTTCCTTTCCATTTAACCATTTCTTTTCCTTCCTTTTCCACCATTTAAAAATCAAACTAATCAATCAGCTAAACCCTCGATTTATTTATTTATTTATTTATTTATTTTTATTTATATATTTATATTTATTTATTTATTTATATGTATTTGTTCAATTATTTATTTATTTATTTATTTATTTAGGAAATGGTGGAGAAGTTTGGACTCTGTTGGAAATCCATAAAAGACTTTCTCGATTTCGTCCGACCGAAATTTCCATTTGCAGGAGAACAACTTCCAGATGTAATTTTTTATTACTCAATTTATTTTATTTATTTATTTATTTATTTATTTATTTATTTTATTTATTTATTTATTTATTTACTTATTTATTTATCTATTATTTGTTATTTATTTATTATTTTATTTATTTATTATTTTATTTGTTTGTTTTATTTATTTATTTAGTTATTGTTTTATTTATTTATTTATTTATTTAGTCAGTTATTTTATTTATTTAGTTAGTTGGTTTAATTTGTTTGTTTTGTATTATTATTTAATTATTTAATTAATTTGATTTGATTTATTTGATTTGGTTTGATGGGTTTATTCGATTTGATTTAATTTATGTGTTTCAATTTAGTTTGATTCTTTTATTTTATTTATTTATTTATTTATTTATTTATTTGTTATTTAATTTATTTATTTTATTTATTCGTATTTTTGTGTATTTGTTTGTTTTTGTTTATTTATTTCTTTGCTTATCCATCTACTTACTGTGCTTTTCTTTTGTTATTTACTTTTGCCATTTTTATTTTTTTTTGATTTATTTAATTGCTGTTTTATTTTATTTTATTTTATTTATTTATTGTTTACTACTATTACTTTCTGTTGTTTTGCTTTAAATGCTTTCAATTTATTTCAATTTATTTATTTTGAATTTCTTTCAATCCCTTTTTATTGCTTTAAATTGCTTTTAATATATTTTAATATATTTTAATATATTTTAATGTATTTTAATTAATTTTTAATTGTTTTTAATTCTTTTTAATTGCTCTAAATTGTTTTTAATTGTTTTTAATTGCTTTTAATTGCCTTTAATTGCTTTTAATTGCTTTTAATTTATTTTAACGAACTTTATTTTATTTTAAGTTCCTTTTAATTGCTTTTGATTGCTTTTGTTTTTGATTGTTTTTAATTGCTTTTAATTGCTTTTAGTATATTTTAACGAACTTTATTTTATTTTTAACTGCTTTTAATTGCTTTTAATTGCTTTTAATTGCTTTTAATTGCTTTAATTGTTTTTTGTTCAGTTTATTTCCGAGAAGAAGCCAACGGACTCGAAAGTGATATTTGAATTTCATTTAAATGAAAAAGAAATTCAAAAAAAAATTAAAAATGAAAAACTCAAAAAAGGAAAACTCAAAATACACCCCGACTGCTGCTGGAGAGGCACTGTTGTCTGCGCTGGTAATTCAATATTTATTTATTTATTTATTTATTCGTTTATTTATTTATTTATTATTTATTTATTTATGTATTTATGCTAATTAGTTTATTATTAATTAGTTGTAAACACAGATTGAAAATTGATTTGTAACTTGTTTGGATTTTGAATTTCATTTAAATTCCTTTTTTGGGGCTTTTTGTGACGGGCAGAAAAAGCATTATTCGCTTATTTACTTTAATTTGAATTTATTTATTTATTATTTAATTTTATATTTATTTATTTTATTTGTTTAATTATTTTCGTTTTATTTATTTATTATTTTATTTAATTTGTTTTATTTATTTGGTGAAGGGGAGGAGATAAAGATAATAGGAAGGCGGAACTTGAACAGAGCTTTCGAGGGAGACATTGTTGCTGTTGAAGTAATTGAAGAAGACACAGAAAGCAGCAGCAGCAGCAGCAGCAGCAGCAGCAGCCGCAGCAGCAGCAGCAGCAGCAGCAGGAGTTTGGAGGAGCAGCAAAGAGAAGAAAAGCGCCAAATTGAGGTGTATGCGGAGCTTTTGGAAACTGAAGACGATCCCCTCCTAAACGATCCCCAGTGGGAGTCGCCCGATCCCGATCCCAGCAGCAGCAGCAGCAGCAGCAGCAGCAGCAACAGCAGCAGCAGCAGCAGCAGCGGTCTTTTGGAAGAAGAGAGGAGTGAGGAAGTGGAAAGAAATGCAGGAAATAAAAAGAGAAAAGGTGAAAATCAAAAAGAGACAAATGAAGAAGAAAAGGAAGTGCAAAAAGACGAAAAAAAGGAAAATCAAAAAGAAGTAAAAGGAAATCAAGAAGAAACAAAAGAGGAAGAAGAAATAAAAGAAAAAGAAATAATGGAAAAAGAAATAAAAGAAAAAGAAATAAAGGAGAAAGAAATAAAAGAAAAAGAAAAAAACAAAAAAGAAAAAAAAGGAAAAGTTGTTGGAATAATTCAAAAAGGCAGAAGAGAGTTTTTCGGCTCTTTGAAGCCTCTGGACGAAACCCGAGGCAAGTTAATTAATTTAATTAATTTGATTTAATTTAATTTAATTAATTCAATTAAACTCAATTTAATTAATTTAATTGATTTAGTTGAGTCAATTAATTCTTTGATTGGTCAATTGTTTAATTATTTAATTGTTTGATTGAAGTAAATAATTAAATTTGTTTAATTAATTCATTTTTTGTTTTTATTTATTGTCCGAAAACTTGATTTGGCTCTTTGCCGCCTTTTTTGCACAAAAGTAATTCGAATTCTTTCTTTTCAAAATAAATAATTAATTAATTATTTAATTTAATTAATTGAATACTTTAATTAATTAATTAATTAATTAATTAGTTGGTTTATTTATTTTATTTATTTATTTATTTATTTTATTTAGTTTTTTATTTTTTTTATTTTCAGCTTTATCTTCTTCGGCGTCGATAGAGCGGATTTTTGTGCCCGTCGATCCGCGGATTCCAAACATAATAATAAAAGTAATCTATTTGTTTATTTGTTTATTTCATTTATTTATTTATTTATTTATTTGTTTGTTTGTTTATTTATTTATTTATTTTATTTGTTTATTTATTTACTTATTTATTTATTTGTTTATTTGGGTTTATTTATTTATTTATTTACTTATGTTTATTATTTATTTATTTATTATTTTATTTGTTTTTGAAATGAAGAATTAAGAGAATAAAAGACTTTCTTGTTTAGACAAGTAAATAAATAAATAGATAAATAAATAAATTTATTTATTTTCTTTTTTTGAATTTTAAAGCTTAAGTTCACTTTGTAGAATATTCGGATTTTGGCGTTTTTTTTTCGTTTTCGGTGAATTTTGAATCTTTTTTTTTGATTTTAATTGCATTTGAATCGCCAGTTGAATCCGCTTTATTTCCAGCTTCGTTTCAATTCTTTTCCCGCTTTTTTGGACTGCTTTTGGACTTCTTTTGGATTTATTTTTTATTTTTATTTTCTTTTTTCAACTCCCAGACCCGCCAGTCCAGAGAACTCGACGGCAAAAGAATCGCCGTCGCCGTCGACGCCTGGGCTCCCACGCAAATGCTCCCCCGGGTACTTTTTAAACCCTTTTTAAACCCTTTTTAAACCATTTTTGAGCGTTTTAAACCCTTTTTTTAGGCCTTTTAAGGCCCTTTTTAAAGCCCTTTTCAAAGTCTTTTTGGAGCCTTTTCGAAGTCCTCTTTAAACCCTCTTTAGGCCCTCTTTAGACCCTCTTCAAACCCTTTTAACGTTCTTTTAAAACCCGTTTTAAACTCTCCTTAAACCCTTTTTAAACCCTTTTTAATTCTTAGTTTTTAAAGGCCTTTTAAAGCCGTTCTTGAAGCTTTTTCAAAGCCCCTTTTAAACCCTCTCTAAACCCTTTTAAAGTTCTTTTTAAAACCGTTTTAAAGCCCCTTTCAAACCCTTTTTAAACCTTTTTAAACCCATTTTGAAGCCTCTTTCAATTGTATTAGAGCCCTTTTTTAAGCCTTTTTAAAGTCCTTGTTTAAACCCTTTTAAATCCCTTTTTAAAGCCTTTCTAAATATTTTTGAAAGCCCTTTTAAAGTCATTTTTTAAAGCCCTTTTAAAACCTTTTTAGAGCCTTCTTCAAACCCTTCTTTAAGCCTTTTTAAACCTTTTCAAACCCTTTTCAAAGCCTTTTTCAAGTCCTTTTTAAAGCCCTTGTTAAACCCTCTTGAAAACCCTTTCAAACCCTTTTTAAACTTATGATTGGCTTCTTTTTAAACCTTTTTAAGATCTTTTTTTGACGCTCTTTAAGTTCTTCTAAACCCCTTTAAAACCCTCTTCAAACCCTCTTCAAACCCTCTTTCAACCCTTTTAAAACCCTTTCAAAACCCTTTTTAAACTCTTTCAAAACCCTTTTAAAGCCCCTTTTTGACCCTTTTAAAACCCTTTTTAAACCCTTTTTAAATTTTGTTTAAACCCTTTTTAAACTTTTTTTAAAACCCCTTTCAAGCCCTCAGCTGTCTGATTTTTAACCCTCAGTTCAAACCCTTCAAAACCCTTTTTAAGGGTTTTTGATTATTTCCTTTTCAATTGAATTTAATTTGTTTTCAATTTAAATAAAGCATTTAACTTTCTTTATCATTTCTTTTATAATCAGATTTAAATTAAATTAAAATTAAATAGAAATCTAAATTTGAAACTACGATTAAAATTAAATTAAATTAAATTAAATTAAAATTAAATTAAAATTTAAATAAAAGTGTTTCGTTTTGTTTGTTTCGGGTATAGGGACACTGGACAGAAATCCTGGGAGACTTCGGAGACACAAAGACGGAAGGGTAAATTAAAAAATAGTTTATTTACTTTTAATTTAAATAAATAAATAAATAAATAAATAATAAACTAATTGATTAATTAATGAATTAATAATAAATGATTAGTTATTTGAAAAGAAAGATAAATAGTTTTAAAGAATACAGGAATGGATATTTGTAACTTGAGGAAATTAAATTTTAATTTAATTTTGACTTCGAATAAATAAATAAATAAATAAATAAATAAATAAATAAATGCGTAATTAGGAAAAGGTAAAAGGTTGCATAAATAGATAATTTAAAAGATATAATAAGTAGTTAAAGATAATAATAAAATAGTTAAAAGGGATTAATAAATAATTAAAAAGAAATGATAAATAATTCGAAAGAAATAATTAATAGTTGAAAGGGAATAGATAATCAATTGAAATTATAAATAAATGCAGGTTTGTAATTTGATTAAATATAATTTTAACTTCATGTAACATTAAATAAACAGATACATGAATTTTAGTAGATTAAATAAATAAATAAATATTAAATAAATAAAGAATAAAAAAATAAATAATAAATAAATAGTAACCAAATAAATAAAAATAAATGAGTGAAAGTGGAGAATTCATAATTATTATAATAAATGGATAGCTAGAAGACAAATTGAATATTTGGAATTTCACAATTCAAATTGCAATATTAAACAAATAATTAATTAGAAAGAATAAGTGATAAAATAGAGATAATTTTAAAAATGAATAATTGGGACAATAAACAAATAATTAAAATAACAAATAATTAAAATAGTTTATAACTAAAACGGTATATATATAATTAAATGAATAAATGATTAAAAGAATGAATAACTAAAATAATAAAAAAATTTAAAGAATAAATAATTTAAAAATTAATTAGCTAAAATTCCATATATAGAAATCAAAAGAATAACCGGATATTTATAGTTTCGCAAGATCAGAAATTGAATTAAAATGAAATTAAAACGATAAATATAAATAAGAAGATAAAAATGGAAATTAAATAAGTAATTTAATAACAACAATTTTGAATTAAAAGAATGAAAGAAGTTTTAAAAGTAAGTGATTAGCGAACAAATGGATATTCGCAAACAAATAATTTAGCAAATCAAATAAATAAATAAACTAAACAATTAATTGATTAATAAATAATTAAGTGTTTGATTTAATTTAATTGGCAAATTAATAAATTCATGAGATTTTGAATCTAATTCGATTAATTAATGAATTAGTTAATTAATTGTTTAATTTGATAAAATAATTAACCACCACAAAGCATTTAACTCTTTAATTAGATATTAATTAGCCAATTAATAAATCGGAAAAGAATTAAATAATAAATAATTGACTCATGAATTACCGAGTAAATAAACTAAATAACCAATTAGCCAATTCAACAAGTGAATTGACTAATTAAATACCAACAGGAAGCAATTAATTTTAAAAAAATAAAATAAAATAAAAAATAAATATTTAATATCGTATCTAGGCATTTGACACTACCCGGCAAAAGAACCATCTAGCCAAAGTAATTAAATTGATTAATTGACCCATCAGCAGAAGGAGGAACAAAAAAGCAAATAAACAAACTAGCAAAATAAAAATTAGCAAATTAAACATTAAACAATTAAGCAAGCAAGTAAATTTAATAATGAAATGAAATGTTTTACTTAACACTACCCAGCAAAAGAACTATCTAACCAAACGAGCAAAAAAGCCACCAACAAAAAGAGAAACAAAAAAGCCAACAAAGTAACTAACCAAAACGGAAATTGGCTAATTAGAAGTTGAAAAAAAGAAAAAAGAATCCAAAAAACCAAAAACAAATGCTTTTGCAGAGACCTGATCCTGCGGGAACGCGGATTCGGAGCCGCGGGCTTCTCCGCAGCCGCGCTGAGGTGTCTCCCCAGCTCGGAGTGGAGTTTAAAAGTTTTGGAGTTTTTGGATTTTTCGGAAATTCAAAAAAGAAAAGATTTTCGAAAAGAAATGGCATTTTCGATCGACCCTCCGGGGTGTACGGACATCGACGACGCGCTGTCTGTACACCCCGGGCCCCGCCCCGGCACTTTCCGCCTCGCAGTCCACATCGCAGATGTTTCTTTCTTCCTCAAACCCGGCGCGCAAACCCTAAACCCTAAACCCTAAAC